GACTGAACAATCGGTTCCCACCTAGACTTTTCGCTGGTTCTCATGTTTCCGCGATTCTCCGATTTTACTAAGAGGAGAATTTCAGTTAACACGAATAGAATCCTCTGTTTTATCAAAGTCGTTGTGCGCGAATGCAGGCCAAGAGTACAAAAGAAATATCAGTGAGTAGCCAAACGTACGAGATCTATTATTTTCCTTAGCCTGAGTGGAGCTGGACCTCCTGCTGTTGATTCCGGAACTTGGTTAGTAAAGTAAGCTATAGAATCTGTCACGACATATGGTTGAGTTTTGCGTGCTGCATGTAGCGCCAGTTGTAAGTCACGCCTGAAACATCAGAACCGTGTGAAACTCGAAGTCCCATTTCTCCATACGTATGGGTCATTTCACCTTTGATAACACTAGGTCAAACAAAGCACATGCGGGTCAATCGAAACTTGTAAGACCTAACTCACCGGGTAACGAATCCAACCAAGTACATGCTATTTCTGGATACAACTACGGGGAATCCATTGTAGTTAGACTCACGCAACAGTTGTTCAATGTCACCAACGGACATCCCATCCTAAAAGAAGAGTAACTTCAATGCAAACGAACCCCGGAAGAATTCATACATAAGCAGTGGTGATATTCGAATGTCAAATAGCGCATTTACCTGGACTATCACAGCAAGTTCAGTTCGTTCTTGGTGATTCTCTGGAGCATTGCTAGAAGTGGCAGTAGCACTTGCACTGGGACGCATCACCTTGAAATTTGCATTATTAGCATAAAAAGTATATTAATTACTGGGCATCACAATGACCCTACTCCACTAATACGACTCCAGAACGTTAAGGAAAAATTACGCTGAAACTTCGCCTATAAAGGTCATTAGGTACCTAACCACGTACATGACACTTGTTTTCGGCTGGCGCAAATTTGTCGCGGCCGCCTTTTTCACCAAAATCGATGAAAACTTGAACGATAGCGCTGTTTGATAGTCCGATCACATTGGCCTTCGTTTTTCGACACCGGCGCGATTTCGCACACTGCTAAGGCTGCGTCTGGGAGGAGCAGTGGTTCCCCAACCGCCATCCTCGGCCTTAGCAGAGCGCTGCCCTATGTTAGCGCTGGGTAAATATTATATTCGTGATCAAGACGCCATAACCTTAGCATACAAGCATGAACAATTTTTGGTGCAAAGGCCGTTGTGCCGATTGGTGCCAGCGCCAAAATGAATACGATTTTTGTTAATACTTTTATGTAAGTTCCCATCGATATTG